GTCCGTCCAGGAGGCTGCTCTTGCCAATGCCAAAACGTGCCAGACCCTGGCGTTGAAGCTCAAACAAAGGTTGTCTTGAAAACAGGCCCAAAATGGCCTGGGCTAAAACCCTGGTCTGGTGCCTGAGTTTCAGGGCAGGTCGATCTTATGAGGGCTTGAAATGGCCCTCCGTTTCAGGCTGAAAAGACCCAGGGCCTGGAGGGCCCTGTTTTAGGCTGAAACGACACAGGGCCTGTAGGCCCTTGTTTTCAGGCTTTCAGGCTGAAACGACCCATGGCCTGAAAATGGCCCTCGTTTGCAGGCGCAGCATGTAACACGGAGAGAGAGAGAGAGAGAGAGAGAGAGAGAGAGAGAGAGAGAGAGAGAGAGAGAGAGAGAGAGCATAGGGGGGGTTGTAAGTCTGACGGCAGATATGTGCTTATAACGGTTGTTTTCCTTCTTTTTTGAGAGTTGGCTTTGAGCCCATGTCCACCCTGACTCCCTCATGGGTGTTGTCTTTGTTTTTGGTTTCTTTGGGTGCTGAGGTGCTACTATCTTCGCAGGCTATGTTGACCCTGAATATGAACAAACGGGAAATTTGACAAGTGCTAGCGACATTTTCAGCCTCGGAGTTGTCCTGCTCGAGATCTTGACCGGGCGGCATGCGATTGTCCTCTGCGAGACAACCAGACGTCAGATTCCTCTTGCAGATTGGGTGAGTTTCTTTTCTATGCCTTGTCCAAACTTTCTATGCCTTGTCCTCACACCCTCTCTCCTCTGCCTCTCTTTTGTCGTACTTCGCCCCTTCACAGCTGCCATATCTCCTTCCTCTTTCCGTTGGAGCGTGGAACACTTCTGCTTTCATCTCTCTCTCTCTCTCTCTCTCTCTCTCTCTCTCTCTCTCTCTCTCTCTCTCTCTCTCTCTCTCCCTCCACATACAAGGCTTGGAGGTAATGGTGATTCAATAAGAAAAAGAGCAAGAAAAACAAAAGACGTTTTCTTAGAGTGTAGGCACAGTGAGGCTGTTTGGTCCTTTTTCATTTGATTTCGTGAACAATTCTCAGTCAAAAAGGCTTCTTGATGGCTTTTGCTGCTTTTGCAAGGAAGATGAGCATTAGCGAACTTCAGCAATCAAACAGCATCATACATATGAGCCCTGATAGTCTTGACCTCGAACCACAGCAGACTGGCTGTCTCTTATACACATCTAGATGTGTATAAGAGACAGGCATTGTCACATGCCAGTTGGCCTAGCCAAGGATCCGCAATGTGATAGAAAGGACTGAATGGACAATGTGATGTTAGTGGAATCTCACAAGCAATGTACATTCTGATACATACAAAATGATACATACAGAATGATACATACAAAATGGAATCTCACAAGCAATGTTACAGAATCTCACAAGCACAGTGGAAGACTTAGATATGAGCCCTGACCTGACCGGGACTGACCTCTCTCACGTAGTATAAGACAGCGTAGCGGAATGCTAGAATACCAATGATTAGCCCAATCAATGTCGCAATGCAGACCAAACATACATCATCCTCATCACAATAGGTGAAGGGGGCCCGGCGCTAAAGAATGCGCCATGTCCAGACCATACACAGACGAAGAGGAGGGGATCAGACGAAGAAGAGGGGGGGGAGATGGGAATGTCGTCAACACCAAGTCTTCGGTACAAATCCCAGATACTCCCTCGTCAAATGTCTGAAGCCCAATGTCAAGTCTGGATCCAAATGTCACCAATCCCGCTCTCTCGTAGTCTGCTGATGCAGTGAAGTCAGGTAGCGGGAGGGTGAGGGGGAGATGGTGGACTGAGAAGAGGAAGAAGAAGAACTCTTCTCTCTCTCTCTCTCTCTCTCTCTCTCTCTCTCTCTCTCTCTCTCTCTCTCTCTCTCGCCATTTCATTA